CTGGAAGGAATTGCCCAGAGAGGAGGTGGAGGCCCCGTCCCCGGAGACATTCAAGGCCAGGTTGGACAGGGCTCTGAGCAACCTGATCTAGTTAGCGGTGTCCCTGCCCACTGCAGGGGGGTTGGACTAGATGACCTCTAGGGTCCCTTCCAACCCAAAACATTCTGTGAATCTGTGATTCTATGATCTATGTAGTTTGTTTAAGCTGTTGATTTGGAGCTGCTTGTTTTTGTGCCCTTTGTACTTGCCATGTTCTTTCCATTAGTATCTTCTATCAAGTTGATGTGCTATTGAAATTGAGTGTGTGGTGTTTATTCCAATGCTTAAAGATTCACTGTGCATACAGAACTGGGAGTACAGCCCTACAGCCTATTTGTGCACACTCCGTGTAAATCAAATAGCGTGCTGAGCCTGAGAATATTACTGTGGGTTACTGTGCCATAACCTCAACTCAGGAATATTCTGTCTCAGGGATAAACAGCTTGCTGGATCTTGTCAGCTGTGCACTTAGGGAAGTGAGGGAGAAAATCATCAGATAACATCCGTACCTGTGAAGACCCACGAGAACTGAGTTTTCCATATTCACAAGCTACCTGAAGGTATTGGCAGCAGTATCTAGTCCAAACAAAGAAAAAAAAAATCATTCAGGAGTGAAGGAAGAGAGGTCAGAGCATGGCTTCTGCAGCACCAGAGGATCCTGGCCAGTCTGTACATGCTTGCGGTGCGAGCCTGTCTAGCCAACAGCTCTCTCTTCTCTTTAGGTGTGTAAAAATGACAAGTTAGGACAAGGAGAGTGCTAAGGACAAAGCTGGGGAAAACGGAGCTTCTCTCACACTGATTGCCTGTGGAGGGGCACTGGGGAGAGCCCCCCTGATGGCAGAATTCCCTGTCTCAACTTGTAACTCGAAAGGGGGGTGCACGCGAAGAGGTCTCACATTTATTTCCTAATCAAAACTACATGAATCTTGATGGGGGAGGGAGTGGGGGGGGGCATTGATTCAGTTTAATCCTTTAAATCTCCCTGGTTTGTATTTTGTTTTTGAATTAGTTTCTCTGCCTAGGCCAGAAAATACTGGTTTTTATCAGCTTCTTGACTTGGCAATTCCCTTCATCTAATATTAGATGTTGATGCTGGAGTCCAGAGCATAGACTATACTCAACGGAAAGAAATGGGGGCCGCACAGTGCACAATTCATCTGACCTATTTTAGGCATCAGTATTAGAGCAGGGTGTATCACAGAATCACAGAACGGCAGGGGTTGGAAGGGAGTCTCCTTGGGAGATCATCCAGTCCAACCCTCCTGCTAAAGCAGGTTCACCCAGAGCAGGTTGCACAGGACATTGTCCAGGCAGGCTTTGAATATCTCCAGAGAAGGAGACTCCACAAGCCCCCTGGGCAGCCTGTATGACACCTTCTACTGACTCTAAAGAAACTCTAGAGAACTAACTCATCCAAGTTTAGCTGAAGCATATTTCACCCAATTAAAGACTTTTTTTTAGCAAGGTAGCACTGAGTATGCTCACTGGATTTCTCAGGATCCTCTCTAAAGCCTTACAAATACACTCTGCATTATTTACTCGGGGCAAAATGTATGACCTGTCAGTGAGAAGCAGCCTGGTGTTTAATTGGATTTGTTCATTCACTTCAGAGTGAACTAAGGCTGTAGTGGTGGGGGAGGAATTCTCTGGTAAGGGAAAGTTTCAAAGACTCTCCAGATTACATTTCCCCAGAAGCAAGCCCTGTTGTTTGCAAGTAACTCAAGTTTATCTGTACAAGCCTGCACCATAAATTCAGTACTTTTTATTACTATTTCCTGTGATACAGTAAATTTGACAAAATATAAGTTCCTTTGCTATTCTTGAGACCATGAATGGGTTATATTTAAGAGGACGTTAAATTATCCCATCTACGTGGTAAGACAAGCTCAGTTCACAGTAGAAAGTATCTGATACACTAAAGATCTGATTTTGCATTTTGATCATAGTGTGTCACTAAATTTTTATTTCTTTTTTTATGTCTTAGTTTATTGTCAATTTTGTTTTGCTTTCTTTTTGACACAATGTTTTAAAGAGGGTAATAGCAAGTTTAGAATACAAAAAAAATCCCTAAGCCAAAGCTATAGTGTTTGCTTATCTCCCCGAAAGGAGAAAAAAAAAAAAAAAAAAAGAAGAACGTTTAAATATTTTAACTCATTTAAAATTAAATACAAAAAATCAAATAAGCTTATGATTACACAACCACTTTTGTCCAGGACAAATTTGGGCTGCCACCAACAGGTGTGGTCTGTTCATCCCACTTACCCATTCCCATTACTTCCCTGGTGTTAACATTGGTATTTGCACAACTGGGCTGATTATCAAATCAAGGAACCATTCTGGCTGAAAAATAGCTACAAATTTTGTGGTTTTTTTGTTTAAGCAGCCTTATACAACATAAACCTGATTGATCTGAAGTGGCAGATGATGACATCAGGCCTAAAGGTGCTTTTTCATCCTAGGTGCTTAGACAGCCAGTATATTTGAACAAGATAGATAGGAGAAATATGGAAGTTCTGTTAGTCTCTCTGTTAGTTACTCTGTAATGAGTCAGTCAGTCAGACAGGTAGGGTTGTGAGATTCCTCTCAGCCACCCAGAATGCAAGCATCCAGCCTGGACTTCTCTTCTGAGTCCATCTATGGTCAGTAGAGAAAGGCACCTCCAGAGGGCAATCTCTTCTCATTCTAACAAAAATATCTAGGCTGCGTAGAACAAGTCACCCTATGGAAATACCTGTCTTCACAGACTGTTTTGAGAACAAGATGACTAACTCGGGCCAGGAGTGTATCTTTTCAGTGTCTAACACAGGGAAAGGTAGGTCATCTTCCAAATGACTTGCTATGTTCACAAAGGAAGCTTGTGGCAGAATTAAATTCCTATAGTTAGCTCTTTCTCTGCTACTACAACCATTAACCCATCCTCTTTTTCTAAGATAGAGCTTTTTTTAATGGATAGAAGGGAATTGTGGACTCTGATTAGACTTCCAGAGTAATGTGGTAGAATTTCAGAGACTTTTAAAGCTGGGGGAAGATGGTGGTTCATTTTTGTCTGGCCTCCTGTATAATACAGATTGTAAAGAATGTTTGGTTATCCTTGTATTGAGTCCTGTGATTTGCATGGATCTAAAGTAAATCTGATCCGAACTTAGAATTTCAACCTTTTAATTTTTAATTTGGCTGTGTTTCAGGAATGAAATCTATTTCTTTGGGTTTCTGCTGTGAGTGAGTTTCAGGCTGACCACTTTCACAGTTGCTTCTTCATGCGTTGTGAGTCAATGCTGAATCATCTTCGTTTCAGTCAGCAGTTGCTAAACTTTCCAGAAGTTGTCTCTCTAGCACCTCTGATTCTTAATTATTTCTAAGAAAATCCAGTTGAGACAACTATGGAAACGAGATGACCCCAGCCTTAATAGCAGTCCAACTGTACAGCGAGTTGAGCTATTGGGAAAGTAGGATCCACAGTTTTCTACTGCAAATCTGGAGTATTAAACTAACTAAAAGGATCTCTGGTGAAGTTTTGGCCCCTTCCAACCAGCATTCCTCAAAAAAATTCCTGGTCAGAATTTGGGAATTAAGACAGGCTAGTGACCAGTCCCAGAAGGCAGCTTAGATGTGGCTACACTCCGCTGGAAGGTGACACTGTTTAATAGAACATAGCAGAATAATAAATAGGCTGGGGTTTTGCCAGGTGGTTTCTATGCCAGAGAAATAATTCCTCTCACATTTCATTTACTAGTATAGACTTAGCCATGCCGTCCTCAGCAGGACTGCTACCAGACCAGAGAACATTTCCAGACTGTAAGAGCTGAGATACTCAAGGGTCCATGCAGCACCAAGAAACGAGAAGTCTTGGTGAAATTTGGCCTTAGAGCAGTTTGCCTGTGGATGTTGCTACAGCTCCTGGGACCACTGATGTCCCTGGAGTCATTCCAGCCCTGCAACTTTGCCTGCCGCGGTCTGTGTGAATGGTCCCAGGACAGCCCAGTTTTGGGCTGCACCAGAGCTATAGGTGAATTCAGCTGTTAAGGAACCAAATAAGTAAAATATCAGGCAATGTAGTTAGCATACAAACTTCAAAACTTACCCCTGTTTCACTGGGAGTATAATCAAAAGTGACACATTTGCAAAATCTTTCTTTTTAAAAAAAATGGCTTTTTATAATGAAAAAGCATTCCAGCACATTACATCCAGTCAGACCTAGACTGAGGAATACCTTCAAGAAAGTATAGTAATCATATGAAGCGTCAAAATGTATAAAATTCATCAGTTTCTTTAGTAATATGTTGTAATAAGTCTGTGGTTAAAATTTCGATTCTATGCTTTATTTGACTTTGTATGACTTAAGTTTCCTACATTAGTTCTTTTATCTGGTACATCAAAGACCCCTTTAATATCTAGCATTTTCTGCCTTTGAAGGTACTCGATGCTGTAATCAAGTCTCCTCTTGATCTTCTTTCCAATAGTGTAAACTGATCAAGTTTGTTAAAGTCTCTTTGCTATAAGACTTTCTGTTCAAAAGAAGAAAAAATTATTTCAGACTGCTGGAAAACATTTTTATCAATGTCACTTTCTTATGAATTACTTCTTAATAGGCATATGTCATATGACACATACTGAAAAGATATTTTCCTCCTTTCAGTGACCTGATTCAGTACCGAGTGAAATTGCTTGGTGAGGCTTTGCATTCTTTCTGCATTGATTTTCAGTGAGGCATCCAAAGAACTGACAGGAAGCAAATCTGGGTTTTAGGCATCACTTATCCCACACTGTTATTAACCAAGGTCATGTCTAATAATATAAAATATTTAAAGTGTTTGGCTGCCTTGTTTTCTTCACCCTTAGCAGAATCCTAAGCTTCCAGTTCAGATAGCAAAGATCTGAGGGTCAAAGGAAAACTGACAACGTCTGCAAAGGTGTCAACCAGGCCAACATTGGAGTAACTCTCCTTCTGCTGATTTTTCTAGGTATAAAGATTTGGCTGATACAGCAGCAGGAGAGAAGAAGAAGTTGTCTGCCAAGGAGAGATGTCGTCTTATTCTTCAGCAGTGCAAATTACAAGGCTGGCAGGTTTGTGATCTACAAAGCAATTAAAATATCATTCTTTAAACAAGCTAGCTGAGTCATTTTCATTGTGGCAAGCCACCAGATCCTTTGCAGCAGTATATTCTTTTGACATTTAATATATGCTTTGGGACAGAATCAAACTGATTTTCTGAGTTTTCTAGCATATGAGTAGCTGTGATCATTGTGTCAAAAAAATCAGTGAATTCTTGTGGGAAGGAAAAGATTTCAATTAAGCATATACACTGTGTAAATTTTCATCCAGGTTTTTATAGTTACACATTTGGTGTACACATTTTAGTGGTTGAATGGTTTCTGAATTACAAAAAAACCCTGCACATTTTCTTTATGTAAAACCCTGTACTAAATGCTGTACTGTCATAATAGGGGAGACCCAGACCAACTACTTAGGACTTACTATCTAGTCAATGGCTTTGCAGGTGCCAGCACGCTGATTCAGAGATAGACCAAAGTGCCTAGGGTTGCTGTACATCACGTAAAGTTAAAAAAAAAAAAAAAAAAAAAGAAAAAAAAAAAAAAGAAAAAAAGCCAAACACTGAACAGGAAGCTCTCAATTTCCTATCCCATCTCCTTACCCTGTTTATGTCCTAGTTAACCCTCACCAGTGTGAGGATTGCAAGGTGGATGTCTCCATTTGTCCAGAGTACTCAGTCATCTCCTTTGGGTATCTTTGTAAGTGAGAAGGGCTGATTGCTTTAACATATGCAATTTCTAAAGAAAATGGTGTTTCCTTGCCTATATAATCTATTATACAGTAAGGAAGCTTTCTGTGACTTAATGTGTAGAGCATTCTCCCAGGCGGTGTGAGCTTCAGATTCAGGTCTTTTCCCAGCCTAGGAGGAGTGAAATCTGTTCTGCAAGAGAGCATCCAGACCAGTTTCAGGGAGAGGTATGAAGTTTAGGGATGGGACAGTGGTTAGGGCACTCCTATAGGCTTTGAGAATATTACTTTAAAGGAAGGGGTTAACGTAGGTAACTAAAGTGGGCACGTATAGCCCCACTCCCTCAACAGCAAAGAGCAAAAGGATGGACCCTGAAAAAGATAATATTAAAATAGACTTGCTTTCCCTTTTTTTTAGTCAGCCCTGGGGTATATTCTGCATCCTTGGCACAAGGTTCCCAATAAAAAACAGTCATTAATACCTAGAAGCTGTACCTTTGCTTACAAGTACCTGGAGCTGAGAGTACCACTAACCTTCAGAACTTGTGTGGGGCTGCACACTTGACATTGGGCAAGAGCTGTGTAACAGTAATTGCATACTGTGCTCCAGTTACGAAACACAGAGCAGGATGCCTATGGAGTTTATTTCCCCGGGAGCAGTAACAGTGTTACAGCACGAAAAAAAGCAATTGGCTATCAGCGAACGCCTACAGCTCAAGGCTAGTGATTCTGTAGCGACTGGTATTTGAAAACAAGCCTGAAACCTTGACAGACAAAAATGTAAAAAGGAAATTGCAAAACAGAGTCCCTCCATCGTTCAGGGGACTGAAGCTTGTGAGCTCAAACAGATTTTAGAGGTTCTGACTCCAGAATCTCATTAACACCAGGAGAAGTCAGGTATGCAAAACTACAGCAGTGCATAATATGTTGTCCTTCAAACCAGAAGGGAACAAAACTCTTAAGAGATGCTGAGAAGTTAAATGGAATAGGAGGGTTTGGGGGTGAGAGTTATACCATTGTCACTCAGTGACTAAGCAGCACATGGCAACAGACTAAGCTGAAAGGAATAAGGTCTGAAAAAATGAGTGACCTTCTCCTTACACCTTTTTCATGCCGCAGAGAGCTATGACAAGCAGATGGAAAGATGATAATCATGGAAGAAAAATCTAGGAGAGAATTTACGCTGAGTCCAGACAATTTCTTACAGACAAATGCCCAGTGAATACAAGCTTGACACCAACATGTTTTGTATAGGTGATACAAAACCATATACCCAACTGTCAGCAGTCGTGACTAATGTCTGTGTCACATAATCTGTCTCTCTCTCAATTATCTTTTTGATTCATTTGACTAATCATGAAAGTTGAACTTTAAATAACAATCTAAATGAGGAAGCTTATACAATCTGCAGTTGTCATGGGTGCCCTCCTCTATGATTTTACAGCAGAGGACTCTGAAAAAAAGAAGAAAAAAAATTAAAAGGGAGGAGGGGGAAGAAGGGGAAGGAAAAGAGGAATTTGGAACCCAGGATGATGTCAGCTGGCAAAGCCAGAGGAAGGGCATCATTAAAAATCATCCAAGAAGTATTTATTCAACCACTGTTGCCAGCAGTAACTACTTCAAATGAGTCACTGCTGGAACTGAAAATCTATTTGATGCAGGGGTTCATGAATAAGTCAAAAACGTCTTCCCCAACCCTGTTACCTGTACTTCCCTGAAGAGCTGTTCAGATTTGGGTGCATAAATTGACAAAAAAAATAATAAATAGATAGATTAAATACCCACATCAAAGATGATGAAGTTTAGGAGAAAGCAACACACACCTGAAATCAACCTTCTGCTTATATGCCGTCATCAGAGGATGAGGTTGCCAGTAAACTCCCCAGCAGAGGGGGAAAAAGAAAGATCTGGTCTTTATAGCTGAGTGAATCTGGATGATACTGTATTTAACTTCTTTCTGATAATGTACCTCACCATCCCGTTTTGTGAAAGGTGATCTTAACTTGGGGGAAGGAAAGTAAATCTGTGTTCTGAAGTGAGAGCCCAAAAATGAGTAAAGAAAATGGTTTCTTTGTATTTATTTCCTGCTTGACAATTTATCTTCTCTTTCTCATGTTAAGTTGTGTTTGGAGAGTGTTTTATTAACAACACAACAAAACCCAGAGCCTACTCACAGAAAAAGTTCTTTCTCCTCTTGTAAATACTGCAGTCTGTTTAAAAATGGAAGACAAGTGAAGAAGATCCAACACCAGAATCCAATTTTGGTTTATTTTCTACTGTTTAGTAGAGCGTAAGGGCAAACACTATCAGCTAGCCAATGTCTGGTGCTCAATTCAGCAGCTTCTGTGTTAGAAGAAAGTATTAGGGAAGTGTTGATAGGTTTATGAAATGCTGCTGTTACTTGGGTAAGCTGAGCTGGAGATAACTAAACTAGGACAATAAAATAGCTGTTTCATTGAAGCTGGCATACCATGCTGATTCAGTCATGCACTTAGCTTAACTACTGAAATTATAAAAGTGCAGAGCTATTAATGAAAGGCAGCTTTTGCATGCTGACTCTGTGCACAGCCTAGATAAGATGTTCTTTCAGCTTAAATGCATACTAGATCATGACAAGCTTAGCTACTTGCTGTGAGTTTTAAGCACATGATGTAAGAGAAAATCAGGTTTCTAAATCAAACCAAACCATTCCTACTCCAGACAGAGTGAAAGTAATAGACTTGTTTAACCCCTGGAGAAGGCAGTGAGAGTTTTGCTATTCACGTTAGGAGGAGCAAGATGATATGTAGTAACTTCCGACTCAATTGGAGTGGAAGTACTGGCTGCTCCATGTAAAGCAGAAGAACCTCCTGCCCTGAAGAACATCTGAAGGCCTTTACATTAGGAAACCCACATTTTCAGTGCTGTGTTCATTTATTGTCACGCAGTGATGTATTTGTTAAGCAAAGCCTACAATCCCAATACCATGACTAGCTTGCAAATATTATCATGCTTTGGGAGATGCATGGGGCACAAATAGTCCTTGGCTTTTTTTACCAACCTAAGGAAACTTTCATGTGTTTGGATTACCATTCCTCACACTGTTAAGCTTGCAAATATAAATTCAGTAAAGGAGAGTTAGCTCATAGCTTACTGAGCTTTCCCATCAAAAGTTGGAGCTTTACATTTTGTTTAGCTAAGGTCAGTGATCTGCCATTAACCCTTCTCAGTTACTTCAGGTGGAGCTTGCCAAAATGCAAACTTGTATTATACCAGAAGTAAAACAAAACATCAGTTTAATTTGCTCTTACTCTACAGTGCAGCTGTTAAATACAAGTGCTGCAAAGGCCAGACTTCACTAAAAGTGAATCTTTCAGCCTTTGACTGCTAGAAATGCTTGTCTAGTTAGATGATAGGAATCCTTAAAAGTGGCTAATAAATGTTTTGTCTTAGTTTATCTTTCAAATTTTTAGCTTGCTGCTTCTAATCCAAAATTCCTTCTTATCAGTAACCTTGAATTCTGAACACAAGAGATCACTCATTTTGGAAAGAGTAAGACAAGTCTTAAGTTTGAATGGGATGATCCAGAGACTCATCAGGTATGAAATAAGCAGTACAGGGAAGTCAGTCAGACTGTTCTGGTGAAGCTCCAAATCGGTATCAGGTAGTTGCATGAGAGAGATGTTGTGTTAGTGCCAGTTCACATTCTCACAGCTGCAGACACTGCTCGAATTTTTTCAGGAGCCTGCGGTGTTTCTGGAGAAATGGTCCTTGCCATTGTGGAGCTGTATTATTAAACTTCTTCCACTCAAAAAGAATGTTAAAACAGAGAATAAGCCCTCAGTAAAAGGAAATACCAGAAGTCCATCTAGAGATTTTAATTTTTTCTAGCACTTCTAGAACGGCAGAAGGAAAATGAAGACTCTGATCTACAGTTCTTAGCAGTCATAAAGAGAACCGTATTTCATAACTGACCTGCAGGTGTTTCATTTACTGGATTTGATACAGCTGTCTTTAGGTAATTTTTTTATTTCAATGTATTAATATACAATACTAGCATACCAGATTCCTTTTTGGGAAAAGTATATTTATGATTAAACGGAAGAGTATAGAACGTAAGTGGCATATGATTAAATCAGAGAAATGAGCAGAAGTATGTGAAATCATACATATGTAAATTGTATGCTTAGTTCAGAGAGACTTTGAAGTTATTTGTTAAACAGAACTGTTTATTTTGGCTTAAAATGAAAATGGTTATGCCATTTATAAATTTATAAATTGCTTTGTACATTATATGATAAAGTACTAGAGTATTTTGCAAGCAATGTAATAGATAAGGCATCCT